GGTTTCCTAAGGGGGAGATGGATTACGCACAAGACTGCAGACTTGAGAGTAGAGCAGGCTCAAAATGTAATAACATAACAAGATGATTTTATTACACAGTGGCCTCAAGAAGTATTTGGACCATTAAGCCAGAGTTAAATGTCATTTTATGAATGTCACTGCATTAAATAGAAATATTAAATAAGTAGCATCTGCAAACAAATTATGCCGGACCTTTTTTTTTTTTAGAACTGATGTCATTTTGTACGGTAATTACTTTTAACTAACTAAATCCCAGTGTTTGTCGCGGTATGAATTAGTTCCCCTCATGTTCACACAGGTGTGCTAGCAGAGTAACCATATATATTTGCAATATATTACATTTTGTGATCAAATAAATGCAGCCTTGGTGCGCACAATTACCCAAACCAAAGTTCTGAATAGTACTGTAAATTTGACACCCCAAATGTGTCCAAATATCTACAGTATATTGCTTGAGCTGCCTTTATAAAATAAATTCCACTTTGGTAATTTTTTGTCTATGTAATTAAATTATATATTTTTAATTGTAGACTAGATCCATATTTGATCTATATTTTGGACAGTGTTGCTTCATTAATTTATCTAATCTTGATGTTATTTAGGCTGGAAACTTGTTGACCTTTTTACAGTTTTGTGTTTGAGACTAACCTGTTGAGTTGACTAGTTAATAAATGATCATGGAAGTCCCTTTGTGAACCATTAAGTTGGAATTTCACATTCCAGGTGACCAATGTTGTCATTTTGTGCAACTTATTTATCCGTAAACACTGAAAGGTTTATAAATTCATGATCAAATTCAATATTCTGCCTTATATTTGATTGAACTTCACCTCCAATCAAACTAAATCTCTTAAAAAAAACACACACACACTTATAAGACAACAGGAACTCATTACTGTTAATGATGGAGATGTCTCTTCCTTTGTAGTTCTCTGCTAAGGTCATGGAAGATCCTTGTGCTGAGGCCACTATGCGGACAGTGCGGCTGTTGTCAGAGCAATCCAGATGAGACGAGGCTCCCAGATCAGATACATGGACTCCCAGGGACTCAGGAAATGTGAAGGAATCCCGAGTACGGTCTGTACAGTAGGACTTGTACCACCACTGCACCACGGCGGTTTGAGAGGAGTGGGTGGTGTAATGACACGGAAGAACGATGGAGGAGAACAGCATAGCAAACTTCTTCTCATCTTTCACATTCACCTGTACACCATTACAATTTTGCACTGTGCCAAAAAGAGAGAAGGAGATTTAGTGAGAAAAAAAAAAGGTAAACATTACTGAATGACAGTAACACAATTACACTTACGGCTGAATACACTACACAAGTCGACACTAGTTGATGAAAGTCAGAGCTAGTCTGCAGATTTCACAGAAAAGAGTATGATATGCACAGACTTTAATACATTAGATATCCAGTTGGAGGATATCACATATTGTTTTCATTTGACATGCATCTCCTTGTAACAAGGTATGTGTTTCAATGATTTTGTTGTGTTTTGGAACAGTTTGAAAAGTCTGTGATCCTCAGTCATTTAGTGTATGATGGCTAGTTTATCTCTGTAACAATTTATAAGGTCGGCAAGTGTATGATCGCTAGCGTTTTTTAAAATCTGTTAAAGTCATGTAGTGTTCTCCAGCCCTTATGTAGAGCACCAGACAGGAAGCTGAGATATGCAGAATTTGCAAAAGCTATATTTGTATTGCAAATTCATGATTGCTTCTATAGAACCGTTAGGACAGTTAGAATTAAGACAAAATATTATTCTACAAACGTCTGTAGAATAATATTTAAATACAGAATAATTTTAGAAAAATTTAATAATTTTAAAATATTATTCTACAAAAAAGTTTGTAGAATAATATTTAAAAACATTTAAATACAGTGTAGAACCCTGTTTTGTGTGATGTTATTTTCTAGCAAATAAATATAAAAAGTATAATATAATAATATTAAAATAAAGTCAACACTACAATTTGTGTAAAACTTCATTCATTCATTAAAATAATTTACTTGGCTTATTCTCATGCTGTAGATTAGAATTGGTCATTAGAATTAGTTATAAAAAAGTTTTTAATTAAATGTCGTTTCAGCAATTTATGTCAAAATTCGGACAGTTTTTATTTAAATTGTTGGATACAGTAAGAATTGAGACAGACTAAAATCACCATATTAAGTAAACACACCCATGAGCAAAGAGAGTAATGCAAATTCCAAGATACAGTGAGCTTTCAGCAGCAACTGTAATGACTACTGGCCTGTTCATGATTAGTATTATGGTGTTTGAGTCTAATGGTACCTTTCATAGTGTCAGAGACAGGCATGTGATCATTACCAAAAGCCCTTTCTCAGTCTAGGCCTAACCAACCAGTGGATCAAAAGAAAAAAAGAGATTTGCTCAGTGCCTCTTTTCGAGAATGCTTAGTCACACCATTCCAAAGGGAATTCACTTTATCAGCTAGAGATTATAAGGTGAGATGACCTGAAAACAAATGCCTAAAAACATCTGGATCCAGTCAGTCAGCATTTGAATGTGTGTGTGTGTTTCTAAGCATGAAAGAGTGTGTTTGTCCAGCCGTGTGTGGGAGATTATGAAACAGAACGCTGGACAAAATCAGAGAAGCGCCTGAGAGGATGATCTGCTGGTGTGAAAAACAAAGAGACTGAGAAAGAAAGAAAGAAGTGTGAGTAAAGAAAGTTAAATTCCATGCTATGCAGGGGGCGCAGAGAGGTGGGGGCTGTCATTTTTTGGAGAGACGTCACCGGCTCTGACGATTTGATTGGGGTGGGGTGGTGAAACTGAAATATTCTGAGAAAACTCTTACAAAAGATCAAGTTGAGTACAAGTAGGGAGGAGGTCTCTCCCACAAACACAGAGATACTGTAACTCTTGTCAAAGGGTGGAGCACATTGCATAAAAATATACAACAACAAGTCACCACAGATGTCTGGATGAGATCTTCACTCATTCATTGTTGCCCTAGAGGAAATGGAGCAACTTCCTGAGCATTTTCCAACTGTACTTTAGAATGCTCGTGTTGCTGAGGGGAATGTAGGCGAGAATTCTGGAATACATTCATTAATGCTCCGTTCAGGGTAGATGGGGTCCTCCTTTTGTCCTCTCTGTTGCCTGTTTGACTCATTGTTTGCCATTATGGTGAACCCCCACCCACTAAGACTCAGTGCAGGAGGGGGATGTTGAGGTCCCACCAATAAGACACACTCATTGACTCAGTCATCCATGAACACCCAATTAGGTTAAAGAGATTTAAACCAAGCCGTTACTAGCAGACAACTTTACTTGATTATATGTGTAAATGAAATGCTGATGCTAACCAAACTATTACAGGGAGGCATATTACTATCACGTGCTATTGAAAATATTATTCAGCTCTTTACCAGCTCAAAACAACTTTTCCCTAAAAAAATGTTATGCACATTCCCTCTTCTGAGAGGGTTTTTATGGAGTGTAGTTTTAGTTCTCAAAGTTGGCCACTGACATAGGCCTACTCGTAAAAAATCATCATATATTGTATTGTCTCTGTTGCATCCACCCTTCAAGAACTGATACAATGCAGCTGCACTCCCTGACACACATTCCAGCAGCACTTCCCACAATTCTCTCCCACAATAACAACTTTGGGATGATAAATAGTTTCAAATGTTTGTCTATGCTGTATAATTAAAGAAGGCTAGGTAAAACTTTAGTTGTGAAATCCCTTTTATACATTACACATATGCAGACATTTTATAATAATCAGTAATAAAGATTAATATATTATGCTGAACAGAGAAACATACTGATTTAAATCAGAGTAATATATTTTTATTATTTTATTTATTTTAGTTTATTTTAGTTAGATTAAGTTAACTTGAAGCTTGTCAAAAGTTAGAATGTAACGGACTCATTTAACAATAAAAAGCGTAAAAATAATTATTATTTATTTGATTTTTTTTTTTTAAGTAAATAAATAAAATTTGTAAATTGTAAATGCATTGTCAGGTGTAAATTTAAATGGATTATAGTAAAAACCGTCACAGGGACCCGTGATCAATCTAAAAATAAAGCCGGGCTCAAGGTTTTCTAAGCTCTCAACCTGATGCTTTAAGTTGTGTGTCCCAGTTTTCTGTATTTCTATATCGCGGTCAAATAGAAAACAGATCAACTCACGTGAAAATAGCATGAATAGAATCCAGAATCCGTGTAACAAAACCATGATCCAGTTTAGTGCGGTTTAGTTTACAGGTATGTAGTCCATCTTCTCCCGGACTGTTATTCGCTTAAATTCATCTCTGTCTGCTGCGCTGGTCAGAATGAGCGGACTGTACCACTTTATTAAAAGGGGAAGCGACTGTGAAAATTAAAAACTAAAAACTAATATATTAAAAGATGCTAAACGGTTGTTGCTGAGTTGAAAACAAAAACCGAGTGCATTTTTGTACCCAATGAAACGGATGTCAAAGAAATATGAGAAACTACTTTATATAACAGCCACAGAAACAGTCTCCCAATTTTTTTAAAGTGAATGCGTCTGTCAGACAAATACAGCAATATTGCATAAAACGTAGGCTAAAGGGAAAAAAGACACTTTAAGGTGACTTCAAGTGTGAGTTGAAAGCATTATTATGTGTTTATTATGTATTTTGTGTTTGCTGTTGTTCCAAAGACACATTTTATTGGAGAAAAATAAATGAAACAGTTTACTTTTAATTAAGTAGGCTGGGTCGAATCACCTTTTATTTAGACTATGAAAAGCAGGTGTGTGTAACATCAATTAGTTCCAGCCATGTAACCTACAAAAATGTAAAAAAAAAAAAAGCCCTTAAGAGGGCAGTTTACATTAGTGTGTATTTATATGTGAACCCCTGCCTATAAAAAATAAATGAATACATCCATCCATGATTCAGAACAGTCCGAATAAAAATGTCAATTACTTTAGCTAACAGACATAAAACAACTTTTTTGTTGTATACAAAATTCTATTAAAATCCTGTAAAAATCAAATCAAAAAGGAAATCAAAAAGGATGATTCATCGGCAGGTATAGGCCTACAGCACAATTTGATTTGATTATCAACACAGGGAAAAATATAGGCTAATAAAACAATAGAACAATATAGTAGCTTCAACAACATGTTTAAACAACTTCAGAACAAAAATAAACACTGGATACCATCTTGACATAGTGGTTGTCCTTTTAGCAAAAAATTTTGGTGGTGGTCATAATAATTAAATGGTTCGATTATCATACTGATCTTGCTGATTTTATCTATAGCGATCTCTTTGGTCATCATACCGATCTCTGCGCTCATCATACCGATCTCTGAGGTCATCACGACTACCTCTGCGTTCGTCATAGCGATCTCTGAGCTCATCACGACTACCTCTGCGTTCGTCATAGCGATCTCTGAGCTCATCACGACTACCTCTGCGTTCGTCATAGCGATCTCTGAGCTCATCACGACTACCTCTGCGTTCGTCATAGCGATCTCTGAGGTCATCACGACTACCTCTGCGGTCATCAGGGTCTCTGAGGTCATCACGGCCTCCTTGATCGAGGTCATCACGGCTACCTCTGCGGTAATCAAAGTGATTTTTGAGGTCATCAATGCAAGCTTTGTCAGTACCCTCTTCAGTGATCGCCATGATGTCTGTATTCCCGTCCTCAGTATTTTCTAGTGGTGGGTTGTCATGGTATTCCACCATTGGATTCCTGAGGCAATAAACAAACATACAGATGGGTAAAAACATATCCTAACAACCGACCACCCAAAAACCAACAATCACTTCATCTATTACTTTGAGAGCATATGGAGACCTACTCCATTTCATAGTCTTTTGGTTTCTGTTTCTGTTTCCGTTTGCGGTAGCAGCAGATGATGACTATTATGAGCACTATAACTCCAGCAATACAACCAGCCACAATACCGATTGTAGCAAGATTCATAGAGGCTGTAAAAACAGAAAGACATGGAAATTAAAATCAGTCAAGGGTCATCAGAGGTCAATATTTCACACATTAAACATTTTACTACTGTAAGGTACTTGCACATATCAGAATACCAGTAAACCCAAATGGTAAGCATGAAGGTCCACCCCTGAACCTCACCAAAACATATAATAGTTACAAATTTTTGTGTGTGTTTTGGAGTAACATAAACTTATAAGAGTGTACACAGTAAACCAGGTCAATTGTCATGTTGACATTAAGCTATAATATCAAGATCTTTAATATCAATACATGGTAAAATAACTGGTAATCTGACTAAAATAAATGATCACCTTAAAAAGAAAGAAAGCAGGCAAATGTGGCAATACTCACACGGCATTACGGATAATGTCATGTTACATTTGGCTGATCCGACCTTATTGCTTGACAGGCAAATATAGTAACCCGATGTCTCCATGGACACATTGACCAAAGACAGAACTCCATCCTCTGTTGCACAAAATAATGTTTAAACTACAGCATAGAGTGACAACATATGTAATTACTCTAGTCCATTGAAAGAGAGACAGAACTTACTTTCGGTGGTTTTGAGAGGAAATGCTTGAGGGACATTTTTGACATTATATCTCTCCCATTTGTATGTTGGTGTAGGTGAGCCCTCCTCAGAGACACAGGTTAGGCTAATATTGTGTCCGTATTCTGCTGTGCCTACTACCTTACAAAGGGGTTGTGATGGTGCAACTGTTAAAAAAAATGTAGATATTCATTCAACATTTGAGAAGGATTCTTCTCACCATGTATATATGGACTTTTCTTTTGAGACAAAGTGCCAAAGATCTTACCCTGAACCAAAAGAAAAGTAGTGTCAGCTGTTTTGCCTTCAATGTCTCCAGGAATCTGAACAAAACATCGAATTCTTCTGCTTTCTTTAAGAGTGACTTGTTTTAGAGTCAATTTCGATGTTTTTGCATCAAGGTCAGTTTCTATCACGGCTTTGCCTTGATAGTCTGGTCCAATGTCTACTTTACCATAGGAGTAATAGTTACCGAAAATGACCTATGAGGCCAAAACAAAGAACCATTTAATGGCTTCATTGTGATAGTTTATTCATTATTACACACTTATTGTTTTTACACTAATGATGGTTAATGGTGTTTTGGTAGACAGTTGAAATTTGTCTGGCTTACCTTCTCCCCAGATGTCTCATCAGCATCACCAGTCCATGTTATAACGATAAGATCATTTTTTGGACTTTTAGGTTTAAAATTACATGTAAGGGTGACATCATCACCCCTGGCAACCTCCACGGTAGCTTGACTCATCTTCACTTCCAGTCCAAAACTAGCTGACATCACTATGAGGCAAAGAGAGAGAGACTTGCATATCATTTTCAAAATGCAAAATGTTTTTTGTTTTTTTTAATGCAGGATTTAATAATATTCCACAAAGGTTTCAAAAAACATTACACAGAATTGAAAAATTATTTTAAGATAAAAGGGAAAGATAAAATAAAAGGGAATGATCTGAAAATATTTAGTAAAATTCCTTTCTACATTTCAAAATGTTCTCACTTACAGTATAACAAATCACAACTTTAGTTTATCAGTAAACTCGGTGTGGTTATATTATTACACATTCTGATAAATATTAACTTAATGATATAATTTATTCAATTCTTTCACATTAATACATTACGGTATTTAAGAATGCATAAGTCTGCTGATGCTGTGTATTGTGTCTATGTAAATGAATGAATGAAATAAGTAGCTGAAAAAATCCGCCATTTTGTAGCTCTTGTGAGAACAAAGAACATTAATACTTGAAAACATATCCTTTAACAAATGTTACATATAGAGCAACTGAAAAGAAAACAAATCACTTACACAAACTAATTTATCTAACATAATGTCATTGATTTGATCTTGACTGCTGTACTCATTGTGAATGTCAGGAAACCGACCACCTCACCTGATATTAAACATAGGTTGCAAAAAATCAGCTTCCAGTTGGTCATTTTGTCGTTTTCCAATCACACTGCACTAGATGGTGGTTCTCAGGTAGATTTTTATATAGATTTTTTTATATATCCTTATCTCTTGGCTTCCTGTGTGCTCACCCGAAACTGTTTTGCTTCTGCGCCTGTGTCTACCACACCTTTATTGCACTTTGGACTCTTATCCTCTTCCTCAAAGTTTTACAAGTTAGGTTGTTACAAAATGGCAGATGTGATATTAGTACAGTTTAGGAGTCATTGCTGGAAAATGAACTGACATGCAAGGGGAAGGGGGTGTTTACATAGCTAGCAATAAGGGACATATTAAATGTTACAGTTTGAACCTCTCTGCATTTTATTCAGGATGACTTGTGTACAATATCACTTGATAAAGCATAAGGTTTACATGCGCAAGCTTTGCTATGTGATTGTTTAAGTAATATTAAAAATATTTTTATTTTTAATGTCTTGAAACAACCCATCTAAATGTTGTTGGTCTAACTGGATGTGTATTCCAGCTGTGGTGCGTTGCCACACAAAACCAGCAGATGGTAGTCCAGGAGACATAATTAAAATACAGGCACTTTGTGAACAGGTCATTTTTCCATTTGGTAAAGAACTATTCATCTTTACCAGACACCATGCTCACAAAAACATCAGTTTCTATTTACTGCTCAACTGTGCTAGTTAACAGACTTGCTCTCACTCTTTCCATATAGGCTATTTCATTTAAGCCCTTTTATTGTTTTCGGATAATTTCTGTCAGATTCAGTAAAGAATATGCTATAAATATCATTTTTGGTAACGGAATCAAAATTTGTAACATTGTCAAAAATATCTAAATAGACAAATTTCCCTTTTTTTTGTGTAAAATTGCTTTTATAAAAAACAGTAAAAAAAAAAAAAAGTGTTTCATCTGCTTTTTTACAGTCATATGTGACTCAGTAAGTACAGAAGCAGTCATGGCATTTTGGTCTTTCAGTATGTTATACAGCTTTATTTATTATTATTTTATTGCATTATTTTATATTAACTTGTAGCAAGATGTACCGTTGTTTAAAAAATAGTTAAATAATACAGTTTTTATAAAATATGTGAGATGTGGTTAAATTGTGATTAAAAAGTGCTTAAAATTAATTTGTAAAATGGACACTTAAACATATTGTCTCTGTAGGCTTTCTTTCTTTCTTTCTTATTAATTCACTACATTGTTCATAAAACAAAGCTTTTTCTCCCGTTCTTTTGTTTTTTGTACATGACCAATAACGCATGCAAGGTGTGTCCAAAGTGTATTTAAAAGTTGAAAGTGTAATTATGGTTAACGATCAATTGTCAGCGTGTCCTTTGGAGGTGGTTCTGGGTGAGTTGAGTCGCACTGATCTGATGGGAACTCTCAGATCTGCCATGCTGATGCTGTGTGAGTGAGTGCATCGGTGAGCCTCTGTATTGTGTTTTGAGGATTTGGGCTTAAATATTCAAAATGGCGGACGGAGGAGCAGCGAGTCAAGATGAGAGTTCAGGACCAGGTAATCATTACTGCATTTTACATATTCATATTCATATTCAAACACTCTTTCTCTCAACCCAGTAGAGCGCGGTAGGGAACGCGTAAACAAAATACTCAAACCTGATGTTGCATTCATATGCACCCTTTAAATAAACGTATCGGGGAATAATTCTCTGTCTGTGCGACGGTGAAACTGGCGATGCAGTGCGACGGCAAAATTAAAGGAAAATGCCTCCTTTGTGTTATTAGAGCAGCCGCGTTACATATTCATACTGCCGCCGAGAAATCGCCGCTTTGCATATTTTATTAGTCATAATCGGCGACAGCTCGCGGGGTTTTGCACTTTCCCCGGTCAGAGGTTGTTAGAATTTTACAGTTAATCATAACTAAAGGCTGTTGTGTGCATGCTAAGCGGCTAATGCTACTCCAGCGGCTTTGTGTTGCTGTATTGTGCCGTAAGCCAATCCCACATATAAAGCTTTGAATATTCATTCGCTCGCAATCAGCCGGCGTCTGCGCAACGTGTTTACGGTGAAAATATGAAAGAGCAGAGCAGCTGGGGGTTGCTTGGTGTACAGTTAGGACACGGCGTGATTTTTTTTTAATGCCTATTCTGTTGCCTTTTGTGCCCATTGCAGGCGTGTAACCCTGTTATGTTATTCATGTGGGCCTTCTAGAGCTCAGAATGCGCTGTTCAGCATATTCTATCAGAATGAATCCATTTCATTGTCAAAGGATGGTGGAACGTGCCAAAATGGAACTCTGACGGCAGTTTATACAATGTATCCAGTCCGGTTGTGGCAAATTGATACTTTGTAGCACATCCGGTGTTTCTGTAACGTTTTATCAGTCTGTCTGCTCAAGGAGATGTATGCAGGCATTATGCCAGCTTTATTTGCCAGTCTAATAGCCAGACGATCCTCAAATAGAGCATAGCTTCTCCACTATTGTTCCAGAAGCTGTATGCTTGTGTATTTAGTAGGGGTGTAACGATTCACTCGTTTTATCGATGCATCGATTACAAACCCTGGCGATGCAATGCATCGATCTTGAACATGGATTTTTGAATCGTGAATCGTCGATTTCGGACAGTAATCGATTAAAAACGATAAGAATCGAATGAATCGCGATTTCTATAGCGATCCAATGCTTTCAAAATATATACACATTAAATTACTATAAGCAGGAATTAATGGAGACCTTGAGCAGTGTTCGTGCCTCGCATCTTCTCTCCTTCACGCGCTCCACTTTTTACCGCCTGTGACTATCACAGGATTGCGCTCGCGCTCCATTCGTCTCACTGACACATTTTTTGAGCAGCTGATGTGTGATCTCTCCTTAGTACTCGTGGCCAGTAATGCTAAAGTTAAGTAATTTTATTTTTCTGTAGTTTTTCAATGGCTCTC